CAGTTCATCTCAATACAGAGAATCTGAAGACATGTACAATATAGAATTAGCATAAACTGATAGACTATTAGGACAGGGTGCACTTCTTGTGGTTCCAAAGGCAGGACAAACAACAGAGGTGATGGCAAGTGTCCTAGAAACACAAACTGGGGAATGGATATCTCACACCTTTTAATACCATTACTGAAAAGTTGGCATATTAAATTTTAACCTTGTAATGAAACTTGTAACCATATCCATATGATTTAGAAGCATAATATTCTTAATATAATAGTATAATTGACATTATTATTCATGGTGGCCAAAAGCCATCTTAGTGTTCAGTGGAATAAGGCACCCTTTAATAAAGCTTGCTTGATCGTGGTGTGCTAATCTGGTCATAATGACCTCCAACTGGTATGATAGCATCTTAACATGGAGCTTGATATCAGAGCAGATCAAAGAGGCAGAATGATCGCTTGCACAAAGTGTCTCTTTTCAATAATAGTGATAGAAAAGGCCTGAAATGAATCTGTATGAATGTATGCATCATCTGAAGCAGAAGAGGGTCTTATTGAACCAAAATGTCAGATACAATCCAGGAGACAAGCCATAAATGCCATAATTACCCTTTGTCCTGTTCTGAACCATCTCTCCAGGAGACGGAGTAGGTAAATGAGATTGGAGAGACCTTACATGCTAACATGCCTTTTCCAATCATATTAAATGTGCAAATTCAAAGAAGAAAATGTGGATCTTTTTAGAATAGAATTTAACAGTAACCTCTCATGGTAGGAATATCTACAAAGCTTTTATTGGTGAAGAGTTACAGAGCTAGTTGGTGGCTGAGTTTACTGCAATTTAAGTGATTTTATCTAGACATAAGCACAGTTTGTAGATCTCAAAATGACCTTGCTGTACTATTAAGTCACCCTTTGTTTATTTTGATATAAGTGGATGCTGCTACATAGTCATATGTATTAATAAATACTTATTTATTCAAAACTTGCCGCTTGGCACGATAATTTATCCCTAATACATTCCAGGACAAAATAGAAATCTTAGTCATATTATGACAGATCCTACCATTACCATTTTGTGTGGTGACCACAAGGGACAACAAAGTCAAGTCCAGGAGACTTTATTTTAACTTTTTTTCCAGTCCAAACAAAAATATAACATTTAAAAAAAATTCCTGACCGTCACCACTAACATGCACCACTTTATATATTAAACATAAAGTCTAATTACACCTGTGTGAGAATGTGCTGGAAAACATTTCACCACTTGTCTAAAAAGTAGAACATTAACACCTACTGTGTTGCTATTTACAAGAATTAGACCCTGTACAGTGGCCTCTAGTGGCAGATCGGCTGTAATTGCAGCCTCCACTTATGCCTATCTGTCACAGGAATCAGAGACCAAATCCAATATCAAAGAAAAATAATGTGTTGAATGAATAAATTATGGACAGCTGCTTCTAAGAGAGGCTAGAGAGACAAAATAACCGCAGAAATGATATACTTCACCATACTCCTTAGTAAGTTACCACTGCACTCATTCCCTTCCATAGTCACCATAATGAGCAACAATAAGAACCCGAAAAGGAGACCCCAGCTGGGACGCCCCTCCAGTCCCCTCCCTTTAATCTGTGACTTTTTTTAAAGAAGCACATCTTTAATGAAAGAATAATACTGTAATTATAGTATATTAAGAAATACAAATCCGTTAGAGCATTAACGGGTATAACACTTTTGTGCCATTACATCATATTCTCCAACTCAAAAGTTGGCATATGCCCTTAAAGCACTATGAAGTTTTTAACATACCAGAAATAATGCTTTAAAAATGAAGCCAAAAGTCCTTTTCTAATCTGATTTCATTACTTAATTACTGCATAACCTATTATATGGCTTCCATGTAATTTTTATAGATCCTCATTTATCACGAGAGCTAACAAATTCTAAAATAGCTGGACTAGTTGGAGTGCACAGGAAAAGCATATCAGAATCAGGCTCTGTCTGCAGTTTCTTCAAAACAGTACAAACATGTCAAGTTTTGTATTAGTGTCCAAATCCCATCCAGCTAGAATTTATCCAGAACCTGCCCTGCAAAAGTGTTTTAACAATGCGTTTTGGAAGAATTAGCAACGTCCAACATTTTGTCTCCAGGGAGTGAAACAGCAGCTGGATATAGCTGGCGTGGTTGACTTCTGCCTCTCTTCACTGCCTCTCAGTTTTACTGCCACCAAGTCACACTAGCATGAACATGTAAGAGTACAAACCGTCATTCTTTCACTGTCAGAGTTTCTGCGGGAGAAAATGAATTTGACAGAGTTTAATCTTCAGTAATTTTACCATACAGTATGTACAAAAACATCAGGATCTGTTCGTGCCTAGATGGGTCTGCAAATGTTTTGTCCTCTACTAACTCCTCTCTTAGTCTCTTGTCAGGGCAGTTCAGGCCAGGGTTTTGGTGTATTTAAAAAAAGTCTCAGTCACCTATGGTTTTCTTTTTTCTCTCATCTTCTTATTAAAGTAACACAGTAGGTGGATAAGCTGGAGGCCATAGACAGCAATCACTTTAAAGCATAGCAAAAATGGAAAACAAAACAACAAAAAGGACCTCAGATGACAGGATCTAAAAGCACAACATTTGGTAGCATTTCCTTTAAAGTTGCAGGTGGAGCATTTCTTGCTGTCAGTTTATGAGGTGTTAGTAATTAAAAAGTGTTGTGTGTTTCCCAATGTATAATTCCTATTTACCCAGTGATAGATTTATGGAATCCAACATTTGAACTATTCAGTAGCTGAGCTCAAAACTGATTACAAAGAGAACAATAAAGATGGAGAGTCTTTAAGGTAAGGGTGTTGGGCTGGACAACTGCAATTACTTTTTCCATATTGAATTTGCTTGAGAAGTGAGCACAATTACCCAGTTAAATTCCTGAGAAAAACAATCCTTACATGGCTTATAAATGTGGCACAGCAGGACTGGGTCATGGACAGGCTGCACAGAATTTATTAAGATAGTTCTTGTAGAGGCTGTGACAAGCCTACAGTGCTTATTTTCAAAAATCCCTTTTGAAGGAAAGCAGGGTAGTCCAGTTGTAAGAGGTCGGTGCTATGTTTTCCTCTGAATATATCCTTGCAACAACCCAGCAGAGACGTGCCTTTGTAGGTGTAAAGAAATCACAGAGAGCGACCATCTTTCTTGTTGCATCGTACAGTCCTGAAAGACCTCCATGCTGGCAGACTGTGTGTCTTCGCTTTGGCTCAGAAGAAGTAAGGTTCATCAGATTGGAGAGTTTGCTTCATCAAATTAAGTAATTTTTCGAGAATAACAATATTCTTTTATTCTATTATTCCATGTTTTATTATACCATTACTGTGACATCAAAATCACACCTGTTTCACAACTTTTGTGTGTGTGTGTGCTCGCCTCATTCCCTTCTTAAGCTTACTTTTTAATCAGTTTGACTCATCATTACAAATAATGTTAATGTTAGTATTCTGAAAATTCCTTGAGTTAAAGATTAAATATACCCAGAGTGCTTTGAATGTCTTCTGTTAAAAATGATAAAAGAAATAAAACATCCCACTTTCATTGAAATAATTGTTAATATTTGCTCAGTTACTTTCTATGCTTCTATGCAGTTTCCCTTGTTTAAGAAAATACAACAGATTATTAATGTTACTCAATGTAAAATTGGCCCAGAAATTCTATGAAAGAGCTGATTTTGTTGGATACCAACAATGTACACAGAAGATAAGTTTAAGACTAAGTTTTGTCTGGGTGATAGTTGGCAAATAGTTCGACATATCTACTTACCTTAAGAAATGTATTAATAGCAAACGTATTACACTAGAAAAAGACTGAAAACCTGTTTGCCTTTTCAAGATGGTGAATCTCAAAATGTTAAATTGCAATGCTTTTTTTTAGCATTGAAACTGCAATGCTATGTTTTTATTTCAGGGTTGATGAGAGTTGATGCATTGATGATTGCATTTCGAACCACAATTCTAGTAAAAATGTACACAAAATAGATTAAATTTAAAGGTATGCACAGTGCCATATTCTGTGATTCAGAACGAGCCAACAAACATCCAGTGACGTGAAGCTATTACATTGTTAACAAACAGGCTTGTGAATACATCTCTTTTAATCCAAAAGGAATATAGGAATAGTGTTCTCGATTTTGAGAGTTTTGTGGACAAAAACTACTTACTTGTTAACTCTGCATCCATATCACGTTGGAACATTTTTGTGGTGAAATAACCTGTACTTATTTGCTTGTACATCGTGATACATTAGTCGTTACAGTGACTAATGAGCAGGAAGGGCTGCTTTATTTTGCAAATACTTTCACAAGCTGCACAATTTTGTGCATAGTTTGAAATTTGTAATTTTTTCTATACCGTTAATACATTTATTTTGTTACCGAGATTGAAAGAACACTATGAGAAAATGGGACTGCAGTTCCCCTCTAAAATATTCTCAATTTACTGGGACATTAGTACAGACAGCAGGAAGAAAGAGCTAGACGACTGCAATGACAAAGCCTGAAATACTGTGTGAACCAGTCAATAAGGCCATTTTATTTCAGGAAATTTACAATATTTGCCCATTTAATGTCAGACTAGGAATGTAGGCTCTTCCCCACCATACAATTCACTGACCTTCATCTGTTTTTCGTACAATTCAGTTCTTGTAATACCTTGACCCCTGAACTCTGGGGCTTCATTTTCTCTAAAGGGCAAGATCAGCCTTTTACTTTTGTGTCCCTTTACAGGAGCTGCAGTTTTGTTATGCTCAAATACAATACTTTGTTGTAATTTTGCAACCCTAGCATTCGGCAGGAGTATATAGCTTTTAGCGTGTTCTAACAGCCTGTTATGGTATGGTTGTTACTGTGTTAGGTCAATCAGCCATTCTCAATGGCAATACAATTTTTTCTGGGATTAATGTAGATTTCAGATAGCATGTTATATGTATTACTTAGTGCCTTTTAGTGGTATCTGTCTCACCAGGACCATTAAGTGTTAATGTAGTAAAAATGGAAAACTGAGAGAAAAACTGGAAAACAGCATGTGGGAATGAGGGAGTGAGATTCCATTAGTAAACAGGATGTTGAAAAAATCAGCAATTTATTTCAGTGATACTTTGCGAGTGACATGTGTAAACTGGAGGAAGGGCATATATTTGTGGCCTGATCGCTGTGTAGTGCCCCTTCTGCTGATTTCTGTTCCCAGGCTGCTTGGCCACTGGCTCTGTCAGAGTGACCTTGAAGGCGCTTGGCTGTCTTCACCCTGGGTCTGTACGCTTCACTGAGCATTCCTCCAAGTGCTCCATGTTGATACCTGAGGGGATTTCTAGGTGGAGAACGGTGGCTTTCCTTCACGGTGACACCTATTAATGGCGGATTAGGAGGAAGTGTTCAAAAGAATCAACCACATGAGAAATTGCCCACCTTCATTCACTTAACTCTTCCTTTCCTGTGGGCAGCAGTCTCACTACTACTTACCTCTCCTACCCTCAGATATAGTGGCCCGCTGTTGTCAGCCGAGCCCAGCACACAGTGCAGCACAGACGCTGGAGCCAATTTTAAATTGTACCGTTCTTAATACCTGAAACAGCTGCCATTCACTATACAAACAACCTCTTGAATTGTATAGTGAATATTTATGTCTTTGAATTAGGATAAAATCAAACAAACTAGACAAAAGCGAAGAGTCAGACTTGGTAGCCCCAAGAGTGCGCTATGTGATGAGATTACCAACACTAGTGAAGTGCTTTATTCTGGTATCAAGAAGCAGTACCAGTGTGTGTGCCAGGCTGAAACAGAGCTGACCACTCTAATTCCTGTACATGCTTGTCTGACTGAAGCTTTATTTTCCTAATTGATCTTTCAGGAATCCCAGTAGGCTTGACTCCTCCCTGGCAGATCAGTGAGACAAGTGGCTACATTGCCAGTTGAAAAGATTCAATGCGACACTTGGCACAGTGAAGATATCTGCATGGCACTGCCTGGGTCTGCTGAGTGCACCTCTGAACTGTCTGAGAAAATGTAAATAATGCAGTCGCTCAGAGCCAGCCTCATGTGCAACCAGCTGTCAGAATAAATCAGTCCATCTTCAAACATCATCTACACACAGGGCTCTAATCAAACATCTTGTTTGGGGGAAAGTCTTGTGAATTTTCTAAGTGGCTTAGTTTGCCACAGTACAGAACAATTTCAAAAGCAGGCTTAAGAGACCACATCCCATGCAAAAGATATTGAGTTAAATGCTTTATTCAGTAAAACAAAGCAAGTCATGTGATGTGTTTGGAACTTAGTGTTATAAGCACCTCACTAACTCACTTAAAAGTGTGCTGTAGAGAGATTAATACAATTTGAAGTGTTCAGATACTACTGCATGTCCTGTGTGGTTGAAATGACTCATGTCTGACACAGACAGTTTGATGTCATTTAAAAAAACTACCACATACCCTGCCAGGGATGACCAATGAAATATTTAAGAAAAAGAGACATTTTTTCTCCAATGTAAATACAATCAAAAGAATAAACAAAAAATATTTATAGTGCCCCTGAATAACATACATGCAGTATGCTGGGATAAAGTTACAGACACAAGTCAAATAAGCTTAAAGGCTGAATAGCCGACACATTTATTTATATCACTGTCACCACCAAAGGTTATTTTTTTTTACATTTGTGGACTTTTGTAACCTGATCCCTTCTAGAGAAAAAGCCTCTCGCATCCCGCAGCTATTGGCCATTGAGACGCAAGCAAGTGAATCCAAACGTGAGGCAGCTATTTGCCACCAAGACAAAAGATTGATTTTCACAGTTGGGTCACGGTTGTGCGGAGAAGAAAGCAAAGCCCGCCAGGTAAATAGGATGTGATTGTGCATCAACAAAGGCCTTGTCTTAACCTCCTAACCTCATTCGCTTTGTGGAATTCCTGCTATTCTTTACGCATTCTCTTGCAAGCACCTTGTGGGGGCAGTTGAGGTACCTGCATCCCGTCCATAAGGGCATGCCAATCCTCCTAAAAAGCATGAGCTGTGTATGTGTAGCACCGATCTGAATCTTTTATTTGAATAAATATGTTGTTGTTTTTTCCAGTTTCTGCACATTTACATTATGAGAATCATAATGACTTGTGTCTTTTCTTGTGAGAAGCATTTAAACCAATGGGCAGGCACTACTTTTTCTGTGCTGCATAAATGGGGGTGTTTACATGGATTTCAACATATTTCTTGAATTCCGCAGTAATAGCTATGGATGGGCTTTTCTGCCATCAAGTTAAAAAATAATGTGTTATCTTGTAATTATGAGAAAAGTACCTCATTATTACAATATAGTACATTATCTTGTATTTACGAGATAATACATTCTCGGGTACTTTATGTGATAATCACGTGACAGCACAATTGTCGTACAATACCTATGGTAACATTAGAAACGCAATGTGGGGCTGTGGGGCCTCCTTCAGGTGTTGACACTTGACTTTCAGTTTAAAGCAGTGGAATCGATTGCACGGTACATTTGTCCTTGTTTAAGGATATGTGTGAATGTCCTCAAAGGTTATAATGATTGTGTTCCCATTAGGTACAAATTGTAACATTTCATTATAAATAAAACCCAGTGGAAAGTAAGTCCATGCACATTCTGCAGTGCTGGACCCTCTCACAAGCACTAAACCCTGAAGTATCGATAGCATGTAGGTGTTGTGATTTCAGAGCATAGTGGGGTGTTCATGCACTCAAATTATCTTTGGAATCTCGTAATTTACTGTTGCCTTCATGGCAACAATGCATTTCTGTAAATTCCTACAAAACAAAATATTACCAGGACACCATAAACATTTGAGAGTAAGTCTTTGCAAATTTTTACAATGGTCTTTTAACTGTGGAAGTGCAAATTCCATGGGCTGGTTTGTCCGTCTGTCCATCTGTGGTTGACTTAAGACCCCTGCTAAATAAAATCTGCAAGAAAGTCCCAATAGAAAAACTAGTTTGACTTCCCTGCTCTACAGTCCAACAGACAAACACCTTAGACAGAAAATTCCTCCCCAAAGATTCACAGAATCATTGTACTGGGTCTACTCGCTTTGAAATATAACTGGTCGTTATTTGGTTTATACAAATTGTCTTTTACCAGTCTGATATTACAATGCTCATAAGACCCAAGAGAACTGAATAGTTTGTTCTCTAGTCTAGTCATCATGTCCTCTTATTAACAACATTGTTGACAGGAACTGCCCAGCTCTAACCATTGATAATGGAGTTCAGCATTGGAGTTGCATTATTACTGAACTAATCTGTTTTTAATGGCACCCTGATTAACTGTTTAACAGCAATTTACCTCCAACAATAGTCATTCAAAAGAATGCTTCCAACCCTGTAGGGGCTGCCTCAAAAACAAGTCGTAGGAAATAATATGAGAGAGAGAGTGTGCTTCGCTAACCTGTCTTTCTGCAGGATTATAGCAGCATTTTAAGTATAAAGCTAAGCGTGACACTAAACAATATTTAAAAGGGTTATTACACCCCACCTTTCTCTCATTGTTCCCATTTACGCAGTTTGGCGCAAGCCCAGCAGAGAATACAATTCCTGAGTCATCATTCCCTTAAAAACATCCAATCATTATTGTTTTGTCTTTGTGTCCTATCAGCGAATAATGTGTATGTTTGTTCTTTTTACATCCACAATTAGTGTATGGGGGAAAAAATAACTCTCTGTATATTAGTGTTAATCACTCACCTGTCATTGGCAGTTATTTTAATGAGATACATTAATGGATTATAAGGAAAAAAATTGGAATGTGTTTCATTTTACTTGCCCGTACATGCCAAACCTTAAATCCTGCACATTTACTTTGTCATTCTGTAGCATTATGTAAGCTCTGCAAAGGCACAATTTAATTGTACAGGTTACCAAACAGAAGCTGGGAAAACAATAACTTAACCATGTTGTTTTGTTTGAGGAGTAGAGGTGGGGCACTTTTGTTTCGAAGTGTGTCAATGCTGTAAAAACTTTTCCCAACCTTTTGAAAATTTCTGTTTCACTACGGTTTTCTTCACACACAAAAAGAAACATTCCTCTGGGAATGTGGGAAGCACCCGTATAACTAGTTGGTGAAAAGTTATTTTAATTCTTGTTTCTACAGTACTCAAGAGAAAAGAACAGATCAACTTTCACTATTCCCATTATCCCATGGGCTGTGAGCAAATGTGTACACTATCGAATGTGTCTATCATACTTTAATAGGGTCCCTGTTGCTAATTATAATTTTTTTATATCTTAGCTGTGGCTGAAATTGTAGTTGAATTCAATTAGCATTTTTCTTTGAGTATTGACTTTCAATTCTGGAAGCCATTGGGAAAGTCAGACACAAATTGCATGTAGTCAAAAGGCAGAGATTAGGAATGTCTCACTGCATTAGGTAAAAGTGAATGAGGTTTTATTTAGCATGTGCATCTGTATGATGTTTTGGCAAAAAGTTGGTAATATATGAGATGTTATTTTATGATTTATCAATTACGAAATAAGATCCTTCTTCTAAGTCCTTAAAGATGAACCTGGGTCCTTGCAATATTGTTCACATGCACAATTACTACATAGCTGCTTTGAGAAATTGAAATAACTGCTTTTAGCAACATTAATTATAATAACTTTGTTAAAATGCTGATTTGCTTAGCATACACTTCATGATGATGCAAAAACACACGTTTTGTTTATGTTTTGAAAGTATAGGTTGCTTTCTTCTTCATTGAAAGACTGAATGAATCTATACTTTGCTGTAGCTTCACTGAAAATGAAAGGATTAGATTTGATGCTTCTTGAGAATATGCTTTTCTAATATATTTCTATGGAGGTTTTGTTGGTTCATTACCTAGGGATAACTGCTGTTCTGATTAGTTTCCTAAAGTTTCCTACGTTTCCTTTCATTTTAGCACTAATGGAGTAATTGCTCTTTCTGCTGTAATGGTTTGTGAGGTTTGAAGTAGGTTAAAAACACCCAAGAACTAACCATCACTGGATGTAAAGTGCATAATAATAGGACTGTAAATACTACCTTGTGTTAATATATCCCTCCATACCTCACCTCTCTGGGCTGTGAAACACTACACTCCAGGTAAGAGACTTAAACAAAAAGTAAACAGTGGAGCAAGCACAAGGCCATCATTTTCTTGTCTCAACTTGCATAATTGTGGAGCTTAATTGCTATTTACATGCAATAAACCCAGAGTTCATATAATACTCAGTAATTGTTGTATCCTTTTCACTTTTCTTCTGCTTCAGCTAGTCTGCTGCTTTATTCCATTAGGTGCAAAGAGGATATGCTGACCTGCACCTCTTTAAAAAAATGGAAAAAGAAGCTCTGTGTTAAAGGTTCTTTA